GGTTTTCTTGTCTTGGGAATCTTGAGCTCGGAGACCATTTTTCTTTTATTATCCTTCTCGAGATTTAGATTTGAAAGCTCAGACGTTTTCCCGGGCGGGGCCAGCCTTATCTCGGAAGCGTCTCCAAGGCCGTGGCTCTTGACCTCCCATTGGCCCTTCACCAATTCATGCCATTTATGCTTGTCAAAAGAGGATGTGGCGGCTAGTTTCCTGACCCAAGCCTCAAGGTCGGGTATCGCCGAGGGCGCCCAACCATCAGCTGCCAAAAGAAAGATGAGTAAGCTATAAACAATGAAAGCACAAGAGTAGATACAAAGGAAAACACGGACTCCACTTATGTTTAAAGTTCCACCCCTCCGAGAACGACATTTTTTCTTCTTTAGGACTGACTCTGACAAATTGGCTCATCCAGTCTCGATCTTTGGTTTCATCAGTACTGGCGAAGAAGGACTTTGTGGTTTGAAACTGCATCTTGATGAGCCCTCGGAATAACTGGGTCAATACAACTGAACTAGGTGGCTGAGGGTGAATTCTAAACCACCGGCCTTCTCAGAGAAGTACTGCAACATGATCACGATATGCCAGAACGAAGGGTGGATTTGGCCGAAGGTGACTTCGTATGTCTTGCAGAAGTCGATCACTACCGGATCGAGGGGGACCAGTGTGAAAGGGTATGTGTAAACACTCAAAAACCCCTCCTTATAGGTAGTTATTCTCTCGTCAGACTTCGAGATCTGAATCGTGTCCTCATCCCCCCATCGGCAATCCTTCCTTACATCCTTGACGAGCTACTTAGTTATTAGACTTATATACTGTGACACGTGCTCATATCGTCCCTCTACATTTGGAGGATTCTCGATACCAAAGTCCTTCTTGAAGATGCAATTATCACGGGTAATCTCTTCAAGTGTCAACGACACCACCGGTTTGGCCGGCCGGGGAGCTGAGGAGGATGACGCTTTATCCTTCTTAGGGACCGCCTTGAAATTTTTTACCATGGTTGTAAGATAAGAAATACAAGTGAGCAGGGATATAGTGTTTCCGGCTAAGGCTTAAAATTTTACGGCATTTGAAGAGACGAAGGAAACAGGTAGTTAGAGAGATGAAAATTGGAAGAGATTAAAGAAAAGTAAAGTTATTTAAGGAAGACCCCCATATTTATAGAGGGGCAATGACGTTTCGAAGGTGTTAATTGCCAACCAATACTTGCGTGCATTCAACATTTTTGGAAAGTGTGCCGATGGAATTTTTCGGTAGCTTCGATCATTGTCTTCACAAGCATAACATCATCATAGGAGGTTCGAGAAAATCGAGGTCAACATCGTTCATATCATTCTATTCTAAGAAACGCGGGGACTATCTGTATACGGTCAAAATTGAAGAGTATGATTTTAAAGGCTTAAATGGGCTATAGGCCCGAGTCTGAGGAGACTCGAGGTGGGTGTTGAACAGCTATCTAGGGGAAGTTGATCGAATGTGTGTCATAGACCGCATCGAGGGCAACATTATCTCGAGGTTAATCCAGAAAGAGCAGGAATTTCTTAAAGACATGTGGACCTAGGCATTAATTATAGTATAAGGGTCGTACAAGATGGGACAGATCTGTACTAGGTCGTTATATACCTGTACCAATGGAATTCTTTATCTTTATGAGCAATGTACTATGTTAGGGTCATTTCCTCCTATATAAAGGTGACCCCAGTCACTTTGTGGGAGATCATTTTTTCATTGTAATAGAACATTCTTATTCCTCTTATTTAACGTGCTCAGCAATTACTCTACAGATCTATTGCTTGTTGATTTATTGTTTCTTCATTTATTGCCCATTATTAACCGCAAAAGGCTATCTTCGAGGCCTTCGATATCATTGTTTCTTCATCGATTGTTCATTGCTAACCGCCCTAGCTAAACCTCGAGGCCCCCTGTTCCAGCCAGCTCGAGGCCCAGTCTTGCGACAGCATTGGTTTGCATATCTTATTCTCTTTACTTACACTTAGTATCTATTGCCTAACAACTCGTATTGAAACAAATCAAATATTTTTAGAACCACAAAATCAAATATTATTGTTAATACCATTTTCTAGGTAAACACACGTAATGCGCATATTTTTACTTCAAAAGCGATGTGAACTCTCGTAATTCGCACAAAAAATAACACACAAACACACTCAAAACATGCATTTTTCATCATTTATATTACTTAGCTTAATCTAAAATGATACTCTTAGCTAGGGTATAAGCAGAGGCGCACCCAGGATTCGAGCACGACAGGGGCACTATTGTATGCTAGTTACTAGCGATAAAATTTGGCAGGCAACTCTTTGAAAACTCAATGATTATGATAACTTATCATCCAAGTATAAATAAATAAAAGTTCTAAAGAAATAGAAATCATCGAACAAAAAGAGAGATTTATTCGCAAAAAAGGTGCTACAGAAAGGGAATGTATTTGATTTAAGATTGTTTCTAACTTTAAAATTTCTAGCTTTTTCTCAGTTAAATAAGGGGTCTATGATCAAAAAGGTGTTCAAACTTCAAAAATTATCAGAAAAACTTACTAAACAAATCTAGATTAAGGGTGTGCCAATAGTTACAGAATTGAAGAAAAGTCTCAAACTCTTAATTAATTGTCATTGATGAGCCAGAGTTGACGGATATCCGTTACTTTGTCAAAGTGATTTTTGAAGAAAGTTGTGGCAAAAATATTTGTATTTTTCTACTTCTGAAGTGCGATAAATTACAATTTGAGGCTTTTAATTTAAGGAAGGGATTTGAAAAAGGAAAAAAGTGAAGTAAGTTGACTATTATGTGTACAGATTAGTTGAATTAAAAGAAGTAAACTAAAAAGGAGGGAGAAAGAGATAATGGGTTTTGAACCCACGACATCAAGCAAAAGCAAAAAACTTAAGTTCCCCACAAAACCGCTCCTCTAGTTCGCCTCTTTGAGTTTGGGGGAACACGAAAAATATTTAAGGGGTTATAACTGTAAGAAAAGAGATATATATACATAGTTTTTGCCGAGGCTAACGGGGTCCCGTGACCCCTCAAGCCTCAACGTAGGTCCGCCTCTAAGTATAAGTGCTATGATTTCTGAACTTTAAAGAGTATTTTCTGCATGTGGCCATTAAAATTATGTTCTATCTAAAGATTTACACTACGGAGAAGAAATCATGAAAAGAAAGAAAGATCAACTTTGCCAAATTAGAGCACTTTAGTTTATGTTAATCCCAGTGATATCCTGTCAAAAGATGAGGAAAGAAAATACTCCCTCCGTTTCAATTTATGTGAACCCATTTGACTGGGTACGGAGTTTAAGAAAAGAGATAACACTTTTGAACTTGTGGTGTAAAATGAAGCACATATATTTTGTGTGGTTATAAATCATTGCATAAAGGTAAAATGTTTCCAAATAGGGAAAGAGGTCATTCTTTTTGGCACGATCTAAAAAGGAAATAAGTTCACATAAATTGAAACGGAGGGAGTAGAAGCCAAAGAGAACTCCTCTTCTTCTACTAAAATAACGACATGAGGAAATCTTATTTTTTGCCCGTTGTTATCATGATAATGATATTAAGTTGGAAATTTTACCTCCTATAGCAAAGGTTGATACTTTATTTATTATAAATAAATACCCTTTTAAAAAATTATCTCCAATAACTACGTTTTAATTTTTATAGCAAAATATCTATTTATGGCTAATTCCTACCTTTAAGGCATAAAATAAGTTGTGTATTATTTTTCTCTCTTCCTTTCTCTTCCCTATCTCATCCTTTCTCTTTCCTCTTTCTTCTCTTTTTTCCCTATTTTCTCATCCCCTGCTTTTAGAAACCCTAGCAGGGGCTGTGTTCCGCCAACGACAGATTCGGTCGGCGACCACTTCCCCTCTTCCTTGTTGTGTCACCCCTAACCCCCTCCCCCGGCCGGCAATACCTTCTTCTTTTTCTGAAGTGATGATTACATTAGAAAACCATTTGGTTTCCAAATGTGACAATCTAAAATAGTTGAAGCTGAAAAATTCTAAGACCCAACATCTTTCACGCCATTTTGAATGGAAAGTAGACAAGTAATTTTTTTGCTTAACTAATCCTCTCTATAGCAATCGTTCTCTATAACAACACCTTTATATAACAATCAAATTTTCTTTGGAACCGATTTTTCTTGTTATGTTATAATATATTCTCTATAATAGCGCATCACAATAGCAACTAAAAATTTTTAGAACAATAAATTTGTCGTAAAGAGGCTTGACTGTATACGGCCTAATGCAAGTTGTGTTTAGTGGTCTTGGACTTGAAATATTATTTTAAAAAAAAGGGCAAAACAGGCCCAAAATAAAGGTAGAAAAATTTGATTTACTAGGAGTTTCAAAGAAATTGGTTTTTGAAACCTTCAACAATCAGGCCAGGCCCAAAATTCGTTAAGCTCATTAGACCAACTTCAAAGAAAATCTAGAAAACTCAATCATTTAGGTGAAAAAGTTAACATTTGAGCAAACTTACGAACTTTATGTACCTTTTGTCTTTGAAAAAAAGAAAATCATGATCTAGTATGATTGCTTTCAAAATTCAGTTGACTTGGGGAAAAATAAAAGGGGATTATCCCTAGCTCACGAGCATGGAATACTAGGCATTTGTTTTTTTTCAAAAAAAAAAAAAGGAGGCCAGAGGCAAATGACTTCCTAGTTTTTGCTCATTAAGGGTGCCTCTCGCTTTTCTATGTTTTCTGGGTTTTTTTCTTTTCTTTTTCCTGTGATTGATATAGGTACGACAAATCATAAGCGAATTCAGAATTCTTCGGATGACACACTATTTTGTGCTCAGTTTCAATTATGGCGAAAATCATGTACGTCCACCTAAACTTGTCCCGATTTTCCTTTGGGACAGCTTATTTAAGGTATATTCCGATTGAACACAGATTTGTTTCAAATAAACACTTTTTTCCTTTCTGTGCTAGAGGTTCATCGCGTGTAACCAAACGCGCTGACGTGTATTAACAGCCAATCAAAATGTAAAAGTTGTATTATATTTTCCATGTTGGCATTATAATTAAAATATATCCGATAAAAACAAGGCAAAAAACCCCTAGTATATTTCTCCTTAACGCCCATGTATCTGTAATTCCACTTAACGCTCGTTTTCTTCTTCTTCTTCTCTCTCTAACTAATTGGAAGGAAAATCGAAGAACAAAAATTGAAGAAACTTTTGGTGATTCGTGGATTCTTATGCAGAAGATACTTACTGTAAGTATCAATTTCCCTCGTTGATGAAAAATAACGATTCAAATATGTCTAAAAAGTTAGGGTTTTACCTTCATGATTTGGGGATTATGGTTTGAGAATATTCCGTTAATTTCCTATATCCCTTTTTCGATTTCATGAAAATATGTTTAATTTCGAGCCACGTTCTGTCATTGTCTCTAATCTGTCTTTTCGATTTTATTCAGCTTTGATTCAAATGCCGGAGAAAATTATATTCACAAAAATGCACCATGGGGGCTACTTTTCCGAGATTCCTGTCCCCACTTATGTTGGTGAGAGTGAACTAGCAAGTATGTATATGGACAATGACCACTTTTCTATTACGGAGCTGGAATTTTATACTAAAGAAATAGGCTTTGTGAGTGTCGAGGGCTTTTATTATCAGAATAGTGAGACCAAACAATTTCACTTGGTGGAGTCGGACCTACACCTATTAGACTTAATAAAAGACTTAAAGCATGGAGACAACTTTGAAATATGGGTTAAACATGTTGTTGACCATGTTTTACCTGTAGATGAGGAGGGACCTACTGGCTACCTAACTGGAGAGAATGAAACTTTGTTATTAAATAACAGAGATGGTGAGTCATTTAACCTACAAGAAGTTGTTGTAGAAGAGATAGTTGAAAGTTTAGGAGGTGATTGCACTGGTCCGTTAGATGTAGAAAGTCATCTTTCAGATGTGGAGAGTAGTGATTCAGATATGGAAGATATACTTGAAGAGGATGACTCAGATGTACATGAGGAGTTGAGAACTGCTAGACAAGACAAAAGAAATAAAAAATAGAAGAAAAAAGCTCCTGTTACAGAAGAGATACCTGTTGGAGAGGCTGGTGGTATAGATAGAGGGTTTGAGGATATTGGGGTAGACAAGGCTAACAAATATGCTGGAAAATTTAGGGGAGATGAAGAGTATATTAGTAACTTTGAATGTTGGAGTGATGATAGCAGGGAGAAGCTAGATGCAGAAACTGTTAGAGGAGTAGATCTACCTCTAGGAGGAGAAGTAAAAAGTAAGATATGATGAAGCTTGTGAGGTGGCTGTATTTGAGCTTGGTATGGTATTTGAGAATGTAACACAACTTAGAAAGGCTGTGGAAGATTATGATGTTGAGTATAGGAGGCAAATTAAACTAAGACCTAATGAGCCTCATAGGGTAAGGATTAAGTGTAAAATAAGTACATGTAAATGGTTGTTGGCTGCTTCTTTGGATAGAAACTGGTGATTTTAGAGACATTAACTATCATCATGTACATAAATGCATTCCTACTAAAAAAATAAGCTTTGCACTTCTAACCTTATTGCCAGAAAGTTCAAGGATAGGATAGTTTCCCAGCCATATATAAGGCTTTGGGAAATTCAAGAGATGGTTAGAGACAAGTTGGGTCTTTATGTTGGTAGGACTATGTCTCAGAGAGCAAAACATAAAGTTCTGAAGGAAAATATCGGTGATTGGAAGCTGGAATTCCAAAGGAAACATAGTGCATGGCCTATTTTAAAGTTCATTCCAAATGTGATATTGTTGAGAACAACATGAGTGAGACTTTCAATTCTTGGATTTTAGCTGCTAGGCATAAGTCTATTATCACCATGTTAGAGGAAATTAAGCATAAACTAATGAACAGACATGTGGATATGATCAATTTTGCTAAAACATGGATCACAGATATTTCTCCTATGGCAAGAACAATACTAGAAGAAAATAAAAAGTACTCTAAGAAGTGTAAAGTTATGTGGAATGCACAAGTTAATTTTGAAATTCTAGACAATTGATATAGGTTTAGGATTCATTTGGAAAACAAGACTTGTGATTGTAGGCTATGGCAGTTAAGAGGTATTCCTTGCCCCCATACAGTTTGTGCTTATTATAAATTAAACTTAGATCCTGATGAGCATGTAGAGCATTGGTATAGGAATGATACATTTTTGAAGGCCTACAGTTACTATACCCAATCTAAAGATGTGGCCTGAAAGCTCAAATCCATCAATAGAGCCTCCTCTGCCAAAGCCAATGCCAGGTAGACCTAAAAAGTGTAGAAGAAAGGCTAAGTATGAACCAAAAAAGAAGTACGGAAAACTATCAAAGAAGGGTGTCAAAATGACTTGTTCAAAATGCAAATAGACTAGCCACAACAGAAAAGTGTCAAATAGGAGTAAGTTTATACATTCTATCTACATATATTTCTCACTGTTCTTTTTCCATGTCTTACATATTTATGCATTCTATCTACATATGTTCTATTGTGTGTTGTAGTCTGGAGTGGGGGATTCTTCATAACCCAGAGAATCAAATGCCCAACCTAGCCAACCAAGCTCTATTTGTAGAGACACTACAACTGTTAGAAGAGTTAACCAAAGTAGGGAAGGTGCTGGGAAAGGTATGGGAGGTGGAAGCAAAAGAGGTAATGGAGGAGGAACCCCATTTGTAAGTCCAAGAGATGTTTCATCTAGTCAGACTAAGGGTTCTAATTCTACTGAATGTGCTGCTGCAACTGGAGGAAACAAAAGGCCTAGAACTATTGGGTTTGGTGTATACTCTGACCCTCAAACTGGAAACCAAGTGTTTAATGTATGTTCACTTGTATTTTTTTTTTCATATTGAACAAATAGTTACTATATTTGGTCTACTATTAATAATTCTTGTGCCTTATTTTTTTTTTTAGCCTGGTACCTCAAGTGAGAGAGTTCTACAAGAATTCTCAAGTGTGAAGAGTGCCTCACCAACCAATATTGATAGTGGTTTTGTTCCACGGGGCCTGAAATAGAAGGGAAAAGATGCAGTCATCACATCACAATTGCAACAAATGAAGGCCAACAAAAGGAATAAAGTGAATACTTCATCATCAACAACTAAGAAGTAGTTCTAAAAGTGAACTGTTTTAGTTTTTTCTGTATGTAATATTGAACAATATTGATGTCTAGGGATGATGTTAATTTAGGTCTTTTTGTCGATGTATTAATGATGGCAAACTTATGAAGCACTTATGATTTTGGTACCATTTTGTTGGAGTTGCGGCGTTACATTTGAGCTTAATTGAGAGCAGTTTAATAGTAATCCTTGTTAGTGTATGAACTTCTATTTATGATGTTTTATTTCTATGTAATCTTGTGTGCTTGATACAAGAAATATATGTAGAAAAGGTATAAAGGAATGGAGTTACAGGAAAGTGAAATGGCTTCCAAGATGAAGACAAGCAAAATAAGCACGCTCACAGCAAAATAGTAGCAGCTTTCAAAACTCCATAAATTTCTGGGAGATCAATACAAAGTTTCAATAAAAAAAGCAACTTGTTCTACTACTACAATACATAAGACCATTATCTAGTCCACTACGAGTTTAGTCGTGCATAAAACTACACAGAACTACACGACCATAATCCATACTATACATATGAAAATACAAAAAAACACAAGCATCTTGAATTTGTCTCTTGTCCAATCCCTCTGTTGTTCAGCCTCCTTACAATTCACTGCTAGAGACTCCATTTGCACTTTAACATCCTTCAATTTCTGTTTTAATTTATCCCTTTCTTCTTCAAGTTTTTTTTACTTTCACTCTTAGTCGATCACTCATTAAACGCAGCATCGCCCGACTTGGTAGTTGCTCCCTCTCCGATGGACCCGTAGATGGACCATCAAACCATCTAAAATTATTACATCCACCATTTTATGTTTCCTAACAACAAATGCATTCACATTACTGATTAATAAGAAACAAAAAGCGAAAAATTTCATAACCAATGAAACTAGTTACTTATTTTTGAAATTCTACAAACATAAAATCGGCGGCATGGGTTTGTTGGAGTGGTCGAGGTCTTCAACATAGCATAATCACCGCAACAACATAAATCAGGGTCCTCTTCGTACACTGAATTTTGCAAATTTTGTGACATTTGAATGTTTCAAATAGGAGAAAAAAGAAGAAAACGAGATAGAGAAGATTCAGCTATGAGAAAAGAAACAAGCAAATGAAACAAGATGTACGCAGTAAAGGAAGAAGAGTAAAAAAATAGAGGAAGAAGAGTAAAGAACAGAGGAAGAAAGACAGAGAGAAACAGGTCTCAGATGGAGAAATTAGGGTTCCAATTTAATTTGGGAATGGATAGATCCGTTGGGTTAGTTGAAGTTAAAATTTTAACGTTGGGAGAGTCAACAGTCAGCAAAAATTTATCCCTTCACGCGCCCAACAGAGGTGCATTACACTTAATGTGCCATGTCACGCAAAAGTGTTTATTTGGAACAAATCTGTGTTAAATGAAGTGTTCAATCGGAAAATACCTTAAATAAGGTGTCCCAGAGAAAAATCGGGACAAGTTTAGGTGGTCGTACATGATTTTCGCCTTCAATTATTTTAAGCTTTGATTTGGATATCTGTTTTTTTTAGTTATTCATTTTTTTAAAATTTATATAGTCGACCGATCAAATAAAATAATTTAATTAATATGATGATTTAAAGCAAAGCATAAAACTTACAATATCATGAATATACCACTTATTTATAATTATCCTTCAACAAATTTTCATATTTTGGAGCTATATCGGACTCAAGGAGGGACAACTAGGAACTAAAACTTGCTTTACATGCATATACAGATACACAATTATATTCCTATCTAGAAGAATATCTTTATCAAATCACCAACATTAATTAATTAAAACCTTATATAGTTTAGACGCAAGATTTTACCACACCGCCTACCAATGTTTACTTGTACCCGATCATAATTCCTGTCATTCAATTTTCTTCCTTGTTGAATTGTCATTAATCTTCTACAAACGTAGTTCTTTCGTATTTAATCTTACAAATTCTCAAGAAATGACTTTCATAAACTAAACAGTAACTGTCTAATTGCTTCCTGTTCCCAAAAGAAATTGATTTCAAGTTAAATTTTCTGTCGTTATCTTTTACAATAAGAGATAAGGAACAACGAAGAATATTGCACGATTGAGTCTTCTACCATTTTACACTGTGTTTGGATCATTGTTCCCCATCATTTTATAATGTATCATATTGTATTGTACTGTACTGTATTGTATCGTTTTGATGGATACAACATTTGGATAGACTGTATCGTTTGCTGTTGTTAAATAATATCTTTATTGTTTGGTTTGAANGACTGGATACCTAACAAGGATTTTTCCATAACTATTTAGAACAGTCTCATTCTTGTACATTTCAAACAGAGCAAGCATATCTTCTCGACTAGTAANGGTTTGAATGTATTGTACTGTACTGTACTGCTAAGTTTACTAAAATACCCTCAATTATTTTATTAAAGGTTGAAAAGAGGTATAACACTAGGGTCGAAGCATCTATATCTATGATTAGTTTTTGCTATTTACATGTTAAATGGCATGTACTTGTCAAAATATGTAGTAGTAAATGCTATTCTTTGAAAAATGATANACATAGATCATAATCCAGTTTGTTAATGATAATACAAGAACTGAAGTTATCATCGTGGATTATGTGAAAGAACAAAACTTCTAAAAATTAATGTACCTGTATCAATTGATCCCATACTTCAGATTCAGCATTCCACATATTTGTGTTGGAATCCCATGCAAACCCGCTCATCCCATTTTGAAAGGTGTCATAACACTTGCTAAATTTTGTATTAATATTTCTCATTCGGTTGTGAACTCTTTCCTTCTTAAAAACTTTATCTGGAAATTTTGATTACACCTCTTTCACTATATTATCAATCGTGTGTGGAGTAAAAGTTCCACCAACCCTGTTTTCAAGTGTGTGCTCATGATAGAATGCATCAATTAAGGCATCATCCATAATATTTGACCAAATACAAACAGTGTTATCTGAAAGATTTGTGTCGCTTGAGGATACCTTTGACTTTTTCGGCATATTGATAACTACATAATTAAGAGATATTCATAAGACTTAATGAAAAATTAAGCAGACATAAAATAAAATAAATGCCCAAATGAAATAAAATAAATGCATAGTACATAATACATTTTATTTAAACAATAGCCGAAATTAATTTCAAACAACATCAAATAAATAAACACGAAAAAATTTGTTGACTTTTTTTCTCCTAGAAGATTAAACTTGATAATTAGCCCACATGTCAGCTGCTATGCCATCTCTAATCAACTCCCCCTTTCTAAACTCCTCACTACTTTCCCTAGGATTTGGTGGTTCTTCATGAACATCATTATCATTCATAAGCTCTGCATCAACTTGTGCAAGTAACTCATCATTTGGATCTGCATCTCTTAAGTAGTTGTGCAAAATACTACATGAAAAAATAATAAGCTTTTGGGTTTCAACACCATATGACGGTTCAGTTGAACTAGAAATTATAGGAAATCTCTTTTTAAGAACTCCAAAAGCTCGTTCAATAGCATTACACAAAGATGCGTGTAGCAGATTAAATAATTCACGAGGATTTCGAGGTGGATTTCTTGAATACTCTTTCAAGTGATATCACTCCCCACGATAAGGCGTAATAAGTCCACTTCTCAACATCAATCCAGCATCAACAAGGTATCGCACCTCCTTTTTCCATACCCGAGAGGGTACAAGGGAGTTTTCTCCAATTAAAGGACAGTCGAAACGGGATTTGTTTGTTTGTTTCAGAGTCGCCACTTGGGAATTTTAAGGCGTCCCAAGTCACCAATTTTAATCCCTGAATCGAGGAGAATATGACTCTGTTTATTATTCTGCGAACCAGAAATCCTGAATAAGGAATTCTGTTAATCCGGAAGAAGGTGTTAGGCATTTCCGAATTCCGTGGTTCTAGCACGGTCGCTTAACTGTTTTTATTCTTGGCTTAATTATCTCGATTTTACATTTTTATTGCAT